AATAACAGAGAAGATTTATTATTAGTTTTGCTTTTATTAAGAGTTAAATGCAGTCATAAAGAAATCTGGGAACGTTAATTAACTGTCAATTTACCAAAACAATTTTACAATAATTATAAATAATTACTTAGAACTGAACAATAAATTATAACATGAAATGTTGATCGATTAATAGGAATCCCATCAAAAACACAAAATGTAAAAACAAGTCAGTTATTTTAGTTGGTGTCTATGAAAGACCGTATCAATTTTATACATCTTTGATTCTATAATAATTATAACTTGGCAGTTTTAACATACGAGTAATAAAATTCTACTAAAAAAATAATACTACTAATAAAATATTTTATTCTTAAGTGTAATATTTAGATTTATATAGTAATCGAAAAAATAGATTTTGTAATAGATCATTGAAGTATAATTATGGTGCTTTGCAATTAACTAATTAAAATTCTAACACTAGTTAAAGTTCAAAATTTGAAGTCAGTGAGGTTGATAGGAATACCTTAGAATTTTGATGATTGAATATGTCAATGAAAAAGTTAAAGAACTTTGACTAGTGACGATTCTCAAACTATAAGGTATAATTGTTATATATATATATATATATATATATATATATATATATATATATATATATATATATATACATGTGTGTGTGTGTGTGTGTGTGTGTGTGTGTGTGTGTGTGTGTGTGTGTGTGTGTGTGTGTGTGTGTGTGTGTGTGTGTGTGTGTGTGTTGGCAATATAGCCAGTTACAGTGTATCCTCTGGGTCACTAAAAATTAAAACTTCTTGCTTTATGATGAAACGGCAGAAGATTCTAGACAACTGATTAAATTAAAAAATGTAATAAAAAAAGTATGTACAAAGAAACCAAAGTACTGGGAAAGCAGAATATTTAAAAGGTAAGCAAGCAGAAGAGCAATTCACCCAAGTCGACGACGACCTCCAGGAAATTGTCGGACGCCCTGCGTACTTTTATTATTTAGGGGTGGAATTCCCTTGTAAATGGTTAATACGGGCCGCCGGTCACGGAAAACTTAAATTAGAGGCTGTCCCGTCGTGTTTGGTTGCATGTGATTGCATCGATATATACACCTGTTAGCTAATACAAAGGTGACGTAATAAAAATCTATTGTAACACCTAATAATCTCCGCGATTTGCTAATGAAGATATTAATTACGATACTAATTGCCTAATTAATATATGTATTATCATAAACTATTAATTTGAACCCTAAGTTCAAATGAATAATTTATGCAAGTTTCCATACATGTAATTCTAACCTAATTTCGTTAATCTGAAGTCTGAACAATGTAATATTAATTCTATATATGTACGTACGTACGAAATACGAACTATGACAAAAAAGACAACTAGTAATTGCCTAATTAATCTGGATTTGATGTTAAATATACCTACTTAGAAATATGAATTTATTAATAATTAAAACATGTAATGAGAAGTTAAATCTAATGATCATCTAAAAGAACAGATTTAAATATTCTAAAATGTTTACAGCCTGATTGAGATCGCTATGGCTATGCCAGGAGAGCAGTGGACTGAAATAGGTTCATTTAAGCGGTGCTAATTACACTTCGGGCCGCGGTAATCAACAGCCTTAATGGTTGTCGTGCCTCCGCCCCCGCCTTATCCGTCTCCCCTCTCTCTCCCGCTTTGTTCTATCAACCTACCCTTGTAGCTTCCTCATTTCTCTGAAATCCGGGCACCGAGATTACGTCAATAGATAACCATAACGCTGTGTTTATGAAACAACGAAACTTCAGAATCCGATGAGCGAAGCCGAGATTACTTGAACTTATAAAGTTATATAATTATACAAAATATTTTCTTTAATTTTACCACGTTCCTTGTATAGGTTTTTCTTCTCGAACTAAATCGATTGGGTTAATACCACAGAATGGGCGAGTAGACGGCGCGGCGGTCGGTAGCTTAGCTTGGAGAGTGGCGCTAATCAGACTTGCTCATTGTTTCCCACACCGCACCGAGACAAACAAAGTTCCGGGGATTTCATTTACATCCATTCAACAAGCTATCTACCTGTAGGTAGAACAAAGTTTGCGCTCTTAAAAGGTTTTCACACAAATAAAACCCATTTTACGGAGGAATAATTTAAGCTGTTCTCAGAACCGACGAAACTTCCATATAATTATTTTAAGTGTTAATACGATTCCAGCTAATGAATTTATAAATGTGAGACAAGGCGAAACTTGATAAGAATAAAATATGTTCACTAATTAACGTAATGGAATGCGATGCAATAACTGGGTCTGGATAATGTCCTTCTGATTGTTAGCGCGTAACGTAATGGCCCTCGTAAACCGGTCTCGAGGAGCATTTTTAAGCACACAAAAGCGCAGCAGGCAAAACGCTTTTACAAGGTTTTAAAGAATTAATTCCGAAAAAGGCGTCTGCCTACAAGTGACTGATTGAATGCTATAAACGTCGCTTTGCACGCGAGGCTTGATATAATTATATCGCGGTCGGAGTCGCACAGCAAACAGTATTTAATTTCCGTAAGCTCCTCGCCGCCATTAGCCGAAAATAAATAAACTTGAAGAGGAAGGGCGTGAATTGCCTCCCCTGGTCCCCGCGGCTGCGAGGGCAACGGGCGGATAAATTTGGAAAGTGGCAACAGAAGCGAGCAGATGGTGATTTATTATCGTGTTTTATAATAATTACGAGCGGCACCGGGGGAGCGGCATTGTGTTGCGAGCGGCCCTCTAATGACGCCCAGGACGTGTGCACTCTTATTATTACATTATGCTCTGTTCTATGTCTATCTTAATGATAAAAGAGGACGAGCGTGTCTTTTGAACGTTAACCTTTATTAATTAATATTAAGTACCTACGCAATATGACTCGCTTGATCACTACGTTAAATAGGTTTATCCTACTTAAGACTCGCCGAGTATTTATATAACCAAATATGATAATGCTAAATACATGTCATAATGTGTCAATATGTCTAGATAGGATTTAATATCCTTGAACACTGAACCGTAATGACGACATTAAAAATAATTAGTTTCTATTAACTAATCACTCTGTACTAATTTGAGGTCACTCTATCTCCAATTCTTCGCCACTACGTTTGCGGTAGCCACAAGAGAATTAATTAATATTAAACAAAACAAATCGTAAACTAAAATAATTATTCATATCCATCTGAACAGATGAAGTAAATTATAATTAATGTTTCTTCTCTTATCTGTTTAGAATAATTAAAATTAATTGAATAATTTAAATTTTACCAACCATTTAACAAGTTAAATCGTTTATTACTAGGCGAACATAAGAGGTGTAAAGGCACTCGTATTGGTACCAAACTACAAACGTGCAACGGGCCATTAAGTATTCTGCGATGTTATCTACCTCTAATAAGTGCTCAGTTAATTATGTCAGGAGTCTCATTGACTCTACTGTTTATGTGGGCCATGAATATTTTAATATTTAATCGCGGGTTTCAGAATTGTGTGCTATAAATATGAAACGGCGAGAAAGGGCGAGATGATTATAGCCGCTATGAACGCGCGGGTGCGGATAAAAAAGGGTACCTACCCGTCATACTCATGTTAAGAGCATATTCAATAATTCTTATGGGTCAGAATGTTGAGATTAAATTATTATTGTTCTAATAAGTACTATGGTTTTTTTTTTTATATTAATTCTAATAATAAATGAAGATTTAATGTTCCATAAAAAATAAAATATTATAATTAATTTTGCATATCTTACTACATATTATTATCTATCTAAATATAGTATCTTACACATACGAGTATTGCGCAGCCTAAACCGTTAAATCTAATCACGACAAAAGCAAGAAATTTTACACAGAAGTTATTCTTAAACTCGTACCACCTTCATAGGTACCTTACATTTTTTTTTATAAATATGATCATACCCCTCAAGTAACAAGAATGAATTTGTTTCCAATTAAATTAGACCATGAATAAAAAACGTCTTCAAGAATATGTTTTCAATCTGCAATGTTGCAAGATTTCAGACTAATAGAACAGATAAACAGAAATTTTGATATAAATACGTATCACCATTTAACTAGCCAGGCCAATCAAATGGAGCAAGTGCCTACATAGCTGCGGCATACCACATGGGAGCTATGTAATTGATGGCTCATTAATATCTTCACATAGATACTATAAGCCAATTCGTAGTGGATACTAGTTATAAATCTAAGGTCATGACTATATTAAGGTTATTAGATTACGATAAATCAGTAATTTTATTTACTTAAGTATACAAAAATATCTTTGACATAAAAGTAGAAATTGACTGACAGTTGATCAATGCATCTGTTGAAAGAAATTTTGTCCTGGTGTTTCCCTAAAAACGATTGACGTAAATAAGAAGACTAAAGGTTTTTTTTTTTAATTCTCGTGAGAATAGAAGATAATGTTTATATGGGTAAAAGTGTGTAAGAATCAATTTAAAAGCATTTATACTGAATTATGCCAATATTGGAATTATTATCTGTCAATTTGTCAAAAATAATTGAACATATCTCAATACTTCTGATATATTATTTAAAAAGTGCTCAGATAACGAACTAAAAGGTTACCAGGCAATAAGACTTTTGTTAAAAAAGTATTTGAATACTTCAGAAGAAAATAAAAAAAGAAAAGAAAGATAGAAAGTGGTAGGTGCAAAATTTTTAGTGATAGATTTATACGCAACCCCTTCTACGATTAATGATTTAGTTTTCCAACAGAATATTTTGAAAATAATCCATCATAAATATTGAAAATTATGGAATTGTTTTTGACAATCGACAATCGACAGAAATCTTGCAGCTGATAAACACGCTTTTAAACTAGCAAGATATGACTGACGATGATTGGGCATTCATGGATCGCAAAGCGGACACATGTACTAGGCGTGCATAAGCGTGCAGAGTTGATGAGATGGAAGCGAGCGCTACGGTGCATTGCGGTCGTGCGCTAGTAACAACTCACCACCTTCCGTTTCGTGCCACACGATGCCCTCCAACGTGACCGAAGTACCAGGCTCGCAGGGTCCCAAGCAGTCCGGCTCAGTGATGGTCCCCACCGAAGTGCCCACACATACTTCTGCCGTTTCCTGTAAATACAAAACAAAGTTTTTTTTTAATAAAAATTGTAAAAATATTTGAATATTTGAATTGAGAAAAAACTATCTCCAAGCCTAGAACAACACATAAGGAACATTTTCATCCTAATTCACGTGAACAATACATAAAATGTTTGACGAGCGGAATAGATATTTATTAATAAGTAAATTAGTTTTAAATATAGCAATCTTTTTATATGATATTACGTATATTTAGTAAAATAACAATTATCTAATAATATAATTTTATGTGTATGAACAACAATTATCATAACACGCTCCATTGAAGCATTAATAAATATCAGAATTATAATTTAAAAACAAAAACAGCGTCGAAATGTTATAATACAAATAAACATAAGTGGTTACAAGTTATGTAAATTATATTAAAACCAGTAATTTATTGCATGGTCACGAATCCGCAGCGAATCGTGGATGTTACAATATTTCACAAACAATTTGCGGTTGGCTTTCACTGCAGCTTTATACGAGTTTCATTGAAGCATTATATTCCGTTTTACATTTGTATTATTTTGTATAAATATTAATGTCGTAAACAGGAAATGTTTAAATGTAAACGACTTGAGATAAATTTTAACTTTTTTTATTCACTTCTGTCTGGTTGATATAAATTACTTTTTAAAGTACCTAATTTGGATCGGCAAACAAGCTGATGGCCCACTTGATGGAAAGTGGTAAGTGTTATTTATAGGTATGAATAGCACTTTACACTTTACAGCTTATCGTGCCCAGTTATTATGGGGATTTACATTTCTTTGTCGTTTTCAAAGTTTTATTTTCATATGGAAATTCAGTTTTCACAATTTCGATTTTACTCTATATATTAGATAAGATTATCTAATATGTACATAGACTATAATAGATCCCTAGTTTTTATCCACTATACTCCTTTTTAATCCCAAACACTAAATGTACGAAAACTTTTACAACAATTGGTTGAATTGTGAACCGTCAAGAGAAAACCAACAAACAAATTCACTTTCACATTTATAAATTAAGAATTATCTATGTAAATCAATTTATCTATTATACTTTATAGATCACCAAAATATAAATATTTTACAATTTTTTGACTAATTTAGAAATTATATAATGGAACCCTTTTTGTTTCAAACGTGTGTGTATATGACTCTAAGAAATTCAGAAATTTTCTTAAATTTACAGATATTTGATAGTATTATATAAATAAAATTGGAAATGCTATAATCGTATGTGTGCTAAACCCAGCTGCAAATATCTGCTGTATAAACCATTACCAAGAACCAACTGTAATTACCAATTCACGATCACTATTAAATGTTACCCACTTTCGTTTTAGTAGAGCTAATTTTCCATTCATATTTTATGATTGAATGTTATGGTGAAAATATACTAGTTTGTTTTATTAAATTTTAATGAAAATGTAAACAAACAAATAAATGATCTGACCACAGAGACCACTGCTGATATCCAATAATAGTACAAATTTAAAATCGATTAATTGAATGTTTTGATTTGTCACTTCCTTTTAGACAGTAATAATTTGTAATAATTAAAAAAAAAAAAACTAGAATAGCTTCTCATAAGTTTTATAGAAACAGATTATTTAAAATTTAAATTATTTTTTTTAGAATCATTTCTTTACTCAAACAATTGGGCTAATATTTGTTTTTGCCTAATCGTCCTATTTCTAAGCGATTTAAAAAATAAGAGGGTCTCAATTCTGTTTAATATATATATATATATATATTATAGACAATAGTAATAATTAATTAGAATACTGTCACTCTCCAAAAAATTTTATCTCAGATGAATAATTGTATGAAATATCTATGTCTTGCTTTCTTTCACATAATTTTAAAAGATTTTTTTCTAACTATATCAACATGAGCTTATTTTAATATTATTATTACAGCCTTTGAAATGTGGTGCTGGAGAAGGATGGAGAAAATTAGCTGGAGGGATCGAATTACCAATGAGGAGGTCCTGCTTAGGGTTAAGGAAAAAAGATAGATTATTAGAACTATTGAGGACAGAAGGGGAAAAATGTTGGGACACTTGATACGACACGACGAACTTATGAACATTATAATAGAAGGTAAGATACAAGGAAGAAGGGGAAGAGGGAGACCGAGACATAGTTACATCAGGCAGTTCAAGGAAGGAGGTAGTGTCGTCTCGTATTAAGAGGTGAAGAGACTCGCTGAAAATCGTACTAAGTGGCAAGAGCTCCACCGACAAGAGCGCAGCTCTTAGATTATATTAAGCTAATTTGAATATACCGTTGCTTGATTTGTCTCTAAAAAAATATACAATCATTATTTATTAATATTGCTAGTATTTTTGTGTAATAACATAACAAATTGGCAAGTGTATTCGTCAAGAACAATGCTTGGGAATGTGTAGATTTTGAATACGAATGAAGTACATTATTAGTATACCAATACTAATTATTTAGGTAAACAATAAAGTGATGCTGTAAGTTTGCTTTGTAAATTAATTATTTTACTACTTCAACTGGACTTTAGATAGCTCTAAAAAGAAAAATAAACGATCTGTAGTCACGTGTGTTAATAAACATACAAGAAAAAGTTATTTAATTGTAAATTATAAAAGTAAATACCTTCTATTAGAAACAAGTAATTGTAAGCATTATTTACAATGTAAAAGAGTATATGACAAAAAATAATATTTCCATGGTTAAGATTGCATTTGATTGAGGTTGTGTTTGTTTAGTTGATAGATATATAATTTTTCATTTATAAGGCAAATAAAGGCAACTCAATATCTCAGCAGGCGTAGTGTCGTAAAGTTAAATAAAATTAATTCGTTTTTGTCAAAATTATTCATCATTTAATGATTATTTTTCACGACTATTCTCAAAATATTTTTTTAAATAAAAATCTTAAAGAAAAATTTAACAAAGTTCGTTTAAGTATATGGACAAAAATATTATACGAATAAGTGCGGGCCACACATTACAACTTTAAATTAAAAAAAAAGAACAATTGTAAGAGTATATGGAAAAATACTGAATTTATTTTTACAGCATTGACAACTTTAGGTTTTATAGTTTTTCGTGGCGATTTCCCGTTGTGAAAATAGCGGAAAATTGGTACGTTTTGCTGTCGTTGGCCGGGATTGCATAAATGCAAAGAGCGTTTACGGCGTAGAACATAATCAAATGAAGCCATTTACATTCAGAACCCGATATGCGAACAGTGCGACGGCATTATCCGTGTCGCTCACGCACCCGGTTAATGGCATCACAAATTGTGAACTAAAGCACTCGACTGAATCCGGCGACGGCGACTACCAAAACGTACATATTGGAAATATAACAAAATTTTATGTGAATCGACAGATACCTATTACTGCTTTCAGAATCGTTTCACGTTTCAGTAACAAGAGGGGAAACGGTATCGTTTTCACTCGTTCGAAGTTATTTATACATTATTAACTTTCGAGCGATTAAGTACAAACACTAAATCTACCTTACTTTTGACCAATATATCTTTTTCTATACCATTACTTCTTGATATCTTGGGTTTCAAAATCATTCTATCCAATACAATTAATAATCTTTGTAGTTAAACAAAGTAAAAAAATTGTGTTTGCATTTTTTTTCTGAGAAACGCTGTTAATTCTGATCAAACACTTATGCTAAAAGCCTCTGTTAAAGGTCTTATCAAGCACATGTATTTTGTTCCATATAGGACAAAGACAAAATTACTCGCGTCTATTTATCACGTGCGTGCATTTTATCAAAGCGCTTAATCATTTACTGAGGTCCGGAGTTAATGAACTAATAACCTTTCTCAAAATACATATCATACATATATACATACTATAAATGTAAGTCAGTCAAGCGGGCCGTCGGTAAGGGACTGTGTTAATTATACTTAACACAATTACTAAATGTACTGACACTCCACCCAAACAAAGGTAAATGGTGGACTGACACGACATCAGAAAGCGAAAACATTCGTGACTATCGTGACTGACAAATCGCTGTTAAACGAGATACAAAAGAAAAAACATCAGCTCCAACTTTACTAAACCAATGGTAATTAAAAGATCGTAAATGAACCAATAATTGTTATCTTTGGGAGAAGTATTTATTCTAACGAGTATAATATCCGTCTGTCTATTCAGTAATTGTTGTAATGCTCTCGTGCAGACCTATGAAAATAAAGTTATATGTCTGACTGCATTAACAGCGATAACAGCAAATAATTGATCATCACAAACCCACGCGTCGCCTATAAATAAAATTAAACGCTTTATTGTTAGTCGAATGACAAATGTGCTATCATCTTACGCCCACAGGCGGAGTACACGACGCGCGTCCGTTCAGTACGAACGCGGGAAACACTCGGTTTATATGGATAGTTTAACCGCAAACATATTAATATTTCGACATGCCATATTGCTATTAAATCCTTTATGGTGCTAGCGTGAACGTTACAAGTTAGGTAGTGGAGGGAGATATTGTGCCGTACACGCGGGGGTTAGCAAAGTTACGGGCGACGCGACTGAATGCTCTCCCGCTAGTCGAGTACGAGTACAAACAGGAGGGGTCGGGCCCCGGCCAGCTGCCGTTTTATCTTGACAAACGAACTCAGTTCGCGGTGCAGCCAGGAAAAAGTTTATACGGCCAGATTCGAATTTACATTTCAATAAAACTCCATTCAGGCGCGCAATAGCGGCCGTATCGAACACAAATGAGTGTCGAGATGCCGGTGTTGGCGTGGCGAATGGAAACAATGGGAAGTAAATCAATTCACAACCGTCAGGAACAAAAGAGCGCGTCAAGAGAGAACGTAATGAGCGCATCGTGCCGATTAAGACGCGGAAGGGAGGCAACCGAGTATCTTTCATTGCGGGGCGAAGCAGGGCCAGGAACTAATTTGTAAGCTCGACGTCGACCCGCGCCGTAAATGGAAACCGTTTCATCGACCGACACCATCCTACATGCCTAATGACTCGAA